TAAAGGCTTTACCACATTGATTACATTTATAGGGTTTCTCTCCAGTATGTGTTCTTTTATGTATTTGGAGATTAGAGTTCTGTGTAAAGGCTTTAACACATTGATTACATTCATAGCGTTTCTCTCCTGTATGTATTCTTTTATGGCTTTGGACATAACTGTGATATGCAAAGGTTTTACCACATTGATTACATTCATAAGGTTTCTCTCCTGTATGTGTTCTTTTATGTTTTCGGAGAGTACTGTTAGATGCAAAGGCTTTCCCACATTGACTACATTCATAGTGTTTCTCTCCAGTATGGATTCTTTCATGCCTTTGAAGATGATTATGATATGTATAGGCATTAACACTTTGAGTATATTCAGAAAGTTTCTCTCCAGTATGACTTCTTTCATGCCTGCAACGATAATTGGCACATGTATCACATTTATTACACTGTCAAATATATCTCTATGAATTAATTTTACAATTTGGTCTCATTGTAAAGAGGTTATCACTTTGTTCACACTCATATTGTTACCCTTTATTAAGAGTTGTTTTTGCATCTTTGAATATATCTGTGATGGTAAGAGTCTTTATTACATGACTTGTATTTTATAGCATCTTTTTTCTATGTGATTTTCACATATTTGAAGAGAACTGGAAAAACTCAGAGCTCACACATATTACATTCATAAATTTCCCTATAGTGTGAGTCAATACATTTGCAAAGTGAACCAGGACAAAGAGAAGTACCAGTGTGAGATTGTTGATGTATTTCCAGTGAAGCTGGAAAAGCAATTACTTATAAACTTGAATCACATTCAACAAGTCTATTCAAAGTGGAAACTACTACATATCTTCTAATTGTTCTGAGAGGGAGAGGGGTATGTTGCATCTTTTGATATCCCTATGCTCATATGGTTTGGTTCCAGATTGACATATGATATACCTATTAAAGGAAGAATAACAAATAAAATGTGGGGGCTGGAGAGATGGCTCAGTGGTCAAGAGCACTGGCTGCTCTTCCAGAGGATCTGAGTTCGGCACCCACATGGGATAGCTCACAGCCATATATTGTACACAATCATATGAAAAAACAAAAACAAAAACAAAAACAAATAAAATGTGTCCACATTACATTCACACAGTTTGAGTTTCTGTTCCTCATAGACATATGATATAGAGAATAAGGTTTCTCTATAACTGTCCCTTGACTCTTGAATCTAACTACTCCTTATCTCACTAAACTTAGCAAAGCCACAACAAGTATATGAGTAACACAAGCTTTACTATGGACTATTTGTTTATTAGAAGGTTTTGGACATATATGTATCACCTATTCAATGTGTGTACCTTTTGTAATATGAGTGGTATGAAACTAAATGGGTTGGCAGTTCTACAGCATAGCTCTCAGAAGACTATGATTCAAATAGTGACATCTGTTAAAGCATTGTTTCCTTCTCTTTTTTCTTAAAATAATGCCTTGTCCCTCTGCATAGGTGAGACAATTGTGTAGCTTGATCTGTTTAAGAGGCCCCCTGACAGTGAAATCAGGATCCATCCCTGGTACATGAGCAGGCTTCTTGGAGCCCACTGTCTTGGGTGGACACATTACATAGCCTTGGTGCAGGGGAGGGGCTTGGACCTGCCTCAGCTGAGTGTGTCAGGCTCTGCTGACTCCCCATGGGGGAAGCCTTGCCTTGGAGGAGGTGGATGGGGGATGTGTTGGGAAGGGGAAAGCTGGGGAGTGGGAGGAGGGAGGGGAGGGAGTTCTGTGGTTGGTATGGAAAATTTCTTAGTAATAAAAAAAAGAAAAAAACCCAGAATGCCTTATAAACAGAATTCATCTACTTGACATAGAGTTATAGGTTTTGTTAGAATTTAATAATCATCAATGTACTTTAAGCTGGGCTTATTTTTTATTTTTTAAAATTTTCATAAAATAGATTTTTTCCAAATCTTTTTTAAAATTTTAAAGCATTTCCCCCCCAACCCACCCCCCATTCCCACCTCCTCCAAGGCAAGGTCTCCCCTGGGGATTCAGCTCAGCCTCATAGATTCAGTTGAGGCAGGTCCAGACCCCTCCTCCCTACATCAAGGCTGAGCCAAATGTCTTAGCATAAGTCCTAGGTTCCAAAAAGCCAGCTCATGCACTAAGGACAGGTCTCAGTCCACTGACTGGGGGCCTCCTAAACAGTTCAAGCTAATCAACTGTCTCACTTATCCAGAGGGCCTGATCCAGTTCCATGAGGGCTCCTCAGCTATTGGTTCACAGTTCATGTCTTTCCACTAGTTTGGCTATTTGTCCCTGTGCTTTTTCCAATCATGGTCTCAATATCTCTTGCTCATATAACCCCTCCTTTTTCTTGCTGATTGGACTCCTGGAGCTCCACTGGGGCTTGGCCGTGGATCTCTGCATCTGCTTCCATCCGTCACCAGATGAGAGTTCTATCATGACAGTTAGGGTGTTCGGCCATCCGATCACCAGAGTAGGTCAGCTTGGGCTTTCTCTTGACCATTGCCAGTAGTCTATTGTGGAGGTATCTTTGTGGATTTCTGGGGACCTCACTAGCACTCTGCTTCTTCCTATTTCTATGGGGTCTTCATTTATTATGGTATCTCTTTCCTTATTCTCCCACTCTGTTCCTGATCCAGGTGGGCAAGGGGAACACTCCTACGCTGTTGGTGGGAATGCAAACTTGTACAACCACTTTGGAAATCAATATGGTGCTTTCTTAGAAAACTGGGAATCAATCTCCCTCAAGACCCAGCTATACCACTCTTGGGCATATACCCAAGGAATGCTCAATCATACTACAAGGACACATGCTCAACTATGTTCATAGCAGCACTATTTGTAATAGCCAGAATGTGGAAACAACCTAGATGCCCTTCAACTGAAGAATGGATAAATAAAATGTGATACACACACACACACACACACACACACACACACACACATACACACGCACACACACACAAAATGGAGTACTACTCAGCAGAGAGAAACAATGACATCATGAGGTTTGCAGGCAAATGGAGGGAACTAGAAAAAAATCATCCTGAGTGAGGTAACCCAGACTCAGAAAGACAAACATGATATGTACTCACTCATAAGTGGATACTAGATGTAAAGCAAAGGATAACCAGACTGCAACTCACAACTCCAGGGAAGCTACCTAGTCAAGAGGACCCTAAGAAAGACACAGGAATTGCCCAATGACAGAGAAATGGATGAGATCTACATGAGCAAACTGGACGTGGGGGGGCGGGTAATGGAGGGCAAGGGTTGGGGGAAAGAGAGCTTAGGGGAACAGGAGGTCCCAGCTGGATCAGGAAGCTGGGCTTATTTACACTGTTACTTTCTTTAGAACTTCCAGACACCTAATATTTCTTCTGAGGCATATTTGTATTAGCTTGCACATGAAAATTACCTTAAATGTCTTCTAGAACTTTGACAATGTTCTTCAATATTATGATCTTCCCATTTGTAGCCTAAAATATAGTACCAGAAAAATGTATGATTTATTATGGGAAATTGTGCAAAATTTAAGTTGTTATCACCAGTGAAACTTAGAACCATGCCTGATTTATTCTTATAGTTCCTTAGTCTCAATCATGATTACAGAAGAGCATCAATAGCCAAGAAACAGTCACCCCTATATTTTCAAAGTGAAGGAAAATTCAGTCTTACCTATAGCAGTGAGGTTCCTGTAGGTCTCTAGCATCACATCTTTGTAGAGACTCTTCTGGTAAGGATCCAGCAGAGCCCACTCTTCCCAAGTGAAGTCAACATGTACATCATCATAAGTCACTGCATTCTAAAATATCCCATACATGTATACAAAGGAAAGTGATACTGATAACATTTCAAATGTATACTTCTTTGAAAATATAGTCATATAATTCTTATGCTTGTCATACTTATTCCATGACACAGAAGTTGTAATCACCAAGTCACTTTAGAAAGAAACTGAATAGGATGGTCACCTCTGTCATTTCTGTACCCTTTGAATGGGATATCACCTTGTTAGAGAAATGCCTATTAACAGAGATAGAGAGACAAGCAAACAAATTAATAGTACTGAGTACACATCAGAGAAATTGTATGAACAATTACTAACTACAAAAAAGATGGGCAAGCTGAGTGTACTGGCTCATGCCTTTAATCCCAACACTCAGAAGGGAGAGGCAGGTGTGTCTGCCTGAGTTGAATGCTAGCCTGCCATACTTATGTGATATTTTGTGTATGCTCTAACAAATAAAGCTTGCCCAAAGATCTGAGTGCAAAGCCAGCCACTAGTTAGCCATAGAGGCCAGGCAGTGGTGGCACACACCTTTAATCCCAGCACTTGAGATCTCATGTTTTTGCTCCCAGTATTTGGGAAGCACACACACCTTTAATCCCAGCACTAGGGAGGTGGAAACAGGAAGTGATATGGCTGGGTGGAGAAAAGGAATGTAAGGTGGAAGGAGACAGAAGCTCAGTCTTTTTGGCTGAGGATTTCATAGAAGTAAAGACTAGTGGCATCCTGTTCTGCTTCTCTGTTCTTTTCAGCTTTCACCCTGATATCTGACTCTGGGTTTTTATTAAGATCAATCAGGGTTCATGCTACATGCTTGGACCAAATTTGTACCAGATTTTGTATGAAGTTGCTTTCTGGGACTAGGAATCACTTTGCCTAATCCTTCCATTAATTGAGGGCACAGAAGGATGGATTCCTAACATTAAGGCACCTTGCTTGGCTTCCAATGTAGAACAAGGGCCATCTATTTAATGGTGATAATCTCCCTGAAAATTCCTGCCTCTGCTTGGCATTTGGCTGCCACCTAAAACTACATAGGCCTGTTTTTCCCTACAACTCACAGATTTTCATTTATTTCTGCCTCACTTGTTGCTTTTTTCACTGTAGTCTTGAATTAGTCATCAGTGATAACCATCTAAGAGATTCAGTGTGTTTATCTCATAAATACATTCCATTTATTGGGCATTTATATTTGTGGATTGTCAGAAAGATGACCTCTCCTTAAGCTGTATAATTGTGATGAATAGAAATGATTGTTTCATAACTAGGCCTATTATTCCACGAGGACTGTGAGATACTTAGAACCTGCTTTTTTTTTTTTTAATCACAGTTCAGGTTGACATAGGAAAATAGTTATATTTCCCCAGCTGCCAGTAGAACTGTATACTATTAGTTGATATAAAGCTTCAAAGTATCTTTAGATTAGATCAGGTGCCTTGTTAATGGTTTTTAAGGTAAACTATTCCCAGGAAAAGCAGTCCTGTTCATGAGGACTTAATAGCCAGTTGTCTAATTTGTTGAACAAAGGTTAAAGATACAAAACAACCTAATTGCTGTGCCAGCCTCTCTGACTTCATAGCCCCAAGAAAGTTGCAAGTTTCCTTTTTTTTATGACCTAAAGTTACACACAGGACAGATAAACATTTTAAGATTTAAAATGCTTTTAGTGTCACTATGCCATGGAGAATGCTGTAGTGAGCTCATACTAAGAATTAAGGTAAACCTGAATTCCAACCAAAGCATTTATGACACAGCTCTCTCTCAGTAAACACTTCAAATCTGAGAAAGCCCAGCATTTCCATTAATTGCAAAATGTTAGTTTAAAATGTTTATTACACTCAGAAATATAGCGTGTAGTACATGATTTCCTTATTTTTCTTAGACTCCTCGGTAGTTTAGTAACTCTTTTAAAATCCTTTATAAGATTATCTCTTTAGGCAGATAACAAAATGACTGGTTCTTTCTTTGCAGGTGCAAGGTTACAGCTCACCTATCAGGAAGTTGAGATTTATTGCATGTGTGTTGTTGGGAGGACTGTCTTTTATCATTTATTTAAGAAATGGAATGTGACCTTAAAGTGTAATTCCTATATTCAACATGAAAGATTCTGTTGGGTATATATACAGCCATGAAGAACAGAGATTTGAAGCCAGCATGAGAGAATAAAGAAAAGTAACCACCAAGAAAATAGGTGTGAGTGTGAACTTTTCCTAACCCCTCAGACAGAAAAAAGTCTAAGTTTCATAGTGCTGTGGCTGTCTCTTTGAGCCCTGCCTGCAGCCTGGGGCTGGTTCCCTAAGAATGCAATAAGCAACTGAAGGCAAAAAGGATAAGGAAATTTTGTTTGCCTGCTTTCTCTCTTACTTGGGTCATTGTATTATACTCTGGTAGCTCTCTTATCCAGCCCAGCCTATTTTCTTAGGGATATTGCCACCCTCAGTGGAAGGGCCTTCACATATCAACCATCAATCAACACAATCTCTCAAAGACATAGCAACGAGCCATTCTAATGGGGGTAAATCCTTAAATAATGTTCCATCAGATGACTATGGGCTCTGACATGTTGATATCTAGAACTAATTAGGTCACAGAGACAGTAATATACAAGAAAGTTTTAAAAAACAAAAACCAATATATTAACTATATCAATAACTTAAATAGCAAACTTGCAAATATTAATAATAGTAACAACTGGAAAACAAAGATATGCCAAGAAATGAGGAGAGGCAAGTCTGTAAGATGAAGAAGAAAAAACAAAACTGTTTCTCTGCAGACAGTCTCCAAACAAACAAAAAATTAAAGAACTCATAACATAATGTTTTTTTTTTTTTTCAGAATACAAAAATAAGTAAAGGTCCATCATTTTCCAGAGAAACATTAATATAGTTAGATTATAACTAATAAAATCATACAACATAGATGGCACCACTGATTTAAAAAAAAGACACAAGGACAGACCTACAAATTTAACATTGTCCCTTAGACAAGAACTACAAGATTCTAGCCAAAATAAAAATTAAAAAAATCACTGACCACCACTTTTTCTGTGTTCTTTCCTTTGCCAATAATAGAAAAATGGGTAGGGCAAGGATGTTGCGGGCCGCAGGAATATATCATAAGAACTCAGCTGGTTATGGCAAAGTCACTACCTGGAGGGATCATGGAATTCCTCCAGAGGAAGCCAAATCCCAAGGAGTTTTTGGTGTTACTTGGCTTGTTATATCAAGCTGTTAATCAGCTGTCTTCGGTTATGAAAATCATGTGTGCCTTCATAGCTTTCCCAATTGACTTTTCCCTAAGAAGGACTAACAGTGTAGACTGAGCACTCTCTGGACGTACACATTCCAGGTAATTTGGAGAACAGCCTCAGGGAAAGGCTTTCTCTGGAATCAGATATCTCCCTTGGCCACTTTCAAGGACTACAGGAAACACCACCCAGGTGGGCACCCATTGTTAGTCCCAGGTGGACTAACAATGATAACAACCCACAGGAGAGTCTCCTGACTTAAGGTAAATTCCACAAGGGGACACCACCTAGGTCAGGTAGACATCAAGTAATAGCTTTACACAATTTAGCTCAGACCCCTCCTTTCTTATAGCCTTACTAACTTTATAGACCTCTAACTACTTACCTAACCACTTCTAGGAATTTTTAGATAACCTTCTGTGCTAACAGCTATGCTCAGCCAGAACTCCCAGTTCAAGCCTCCCTGTAATTATCATTATTGGTAGCATCCGGCCAGGTCCATCACCAGATGGAAGAAAGTACCTTATCAGAGATACCTCTGTACTCTCTAAGAACAGACTTAAGCATCCAGGTTACCTGTTTGAGAAGGCCTGGCAGATGAGTCAATTAAGCCTATTCTTATCACCCCTCCATTTGACCCTGGAAGCCTGGCTTTGCACTGCTAAGGAAATACTGCTTGTAAGTATATATATACCAGAACTCCCAGGGCAGG